TTCATTTATTTATTTATTATTGAATTTGGAAAGACCCATGCAGCACAGGAAGTGCTTTTGCAAACACTTTTTGTATTTGCTCAAATGGAAAGAAATGTTGATGTGCATTTACAGAAAAGTAGTTACTTTATAATAATGAGGAACACTTTAAATGATTTCCTATGAAGTCAGAAACTGCAATGTCCATTTGTGTTAATGCTGTTAGACTATTAGGAGTACATATAACTGTAATTTTCCTGATATTATCTCGGCTGTCTTGAAATAATTAAAATACAGCCCTGAAAACACATGGCTCATTTAAGTTATTGTACAGTAGCTTGTCTAGAATTCAGCAGGTTTATTTATTATAAGAAGAGTGTAAAGCAAAAAGGCATTTCTCAATACAAATAGATGAACAATATGTCTGCGTTTAGGGACGTTTGATGTAAAATTTGGACTTTTGATCTGATGTGTGTACACAGCCCATCGTGACACTTTGAGGGCAGTTGTATGTTTTATAACTGAAATGGGAATGTCAGAGCTTGTCATATGTCTGCCCCCCCTCCTCTCCGGGGTTCTTGTAAAACATGTGATTTCTGCAAGAGGCTGCAAAGGGTGTGCACGTGTGCATGTACATGGGCGTATGCGTTTCTCTGTGTGCATGCGCACGATTGTGTGACTAATACAATATCTCACCAGCCGAAGCCTACTACTACAACTGCTGTGCAGGGATACAAGGCAGCACATGACAGAACAGCTTGAACAGCGCAGCTGAAGTGCACATGCAGCCAACAGCAACCACCTATCTAATTACTTGCTGAAGCCGATTTTGTATTAGGACTAAAAATCATTTCTAAATTCTACTTAAATGGATGAACACTGTTAAAGTGTTAAAGTGAAAAAAAAAGAAACACTACAAGTCTGCATTGGTGTCCTGTTGTGATGGTTTACAAAGTCAAAGGTGGGCAAAGAAAAGCAATCACCAAATTACCTTTTACTCTGACCCATCATGTATATCTGTGTTCTGTGTGCAGCACAACTGACAATAATTCAGCATCATGCCGAGCTCATCCACCTCTCTAGACCGCCTGCCCTGCTCAATTCAGCAACTGCTTCAGCATGCAATTTCAGCAATTCCTCTTTTTTCAGATAGCAGGGACAGCGAGCTCTGAAGGCCAAGACCATTTTTATAAGTAATTTATGCTTTTACAATGATTGCTGCACCTGCGTCCTTGCCTGCTTTTTGTGTTAAAATTAAATAGGTGGCTTTTCATCAAAGCTAAACTTATATAGAGATATTATGTGACATATGTTTGGTCTTTTCACGGACACATATCTTAGATTTGCAGGCTCTTGCATCTCAGTACATCATAAGATATGTTGTCATTTCATGAAATATCTTTTTTTTTTTGCTATTTCAAATATACACATTTTATTGTATACTTCTGTACCACAAAAACCATAGGAAAGGGAGGAAAAAACATTTCAAATGTGTAAATACTAATTAAACTTTCACAAACAATTATTCTCCGCAACATTTTTTTTAAAACTTACTGTAACGCTAAATTTTGACATCTCAAGCTGCTTCCTTCTAAAGTGCTTAGAACACTTACGATAATCTGCGATAATCTACTCACCAAAGATACACCAACACATTATCCATTTGAATGCTAAGTACACCTCATTCAGAACTTTAAAAAATGCTAACATATTCTGAGAGCTTAGAATAGCTCCAGTGGAACATGTTATCCTCTGTCAGGCCCAACACACACATACACCTACACACACAGAGGCAGAGACCTAAAGCGCTTTATGCAAAGTAATGAAAAGTGGATAAATAGCTACTTCAGCTGCACCTTTACCTCATAGCTTGCTAAGAAATAGGCAAACGCAGCAAATCTCATATGGTGTATTAAGTATATAGGATCAGCAAGAATGGCTGGGTAGGCCTAGACTTAGGAGAAACAGACTCTTATCCAGTTCAGAGGTCTTTGGTTTTGTATCATGGCTGTACCGATAACCTCCAATGGTAATTTAATGCCTCCATTGAAGTAATGCACTTTATTGCACCAGTGGATTAAGTAATGATTATTTTGTGAAATTGTGGCCACACAATGGTCAATTAATCTTTAATGAAACTGTAACTTATGAGGCGGAGCGTGGCTTTCCAATAAGCAGGCAACTGCTTGCCAAAGCAGTTACAAGCCTCAGTTGCGGCCTACACACCCTATCTATCACCATGTAAAAATAGAGCACTCTCGAAAAAGACACAATGAAAAGGCGAAGTCACACTTGCAGAGTCTCCGATTTTAGCATTCATGGAATGGTAGCGGGCCTATATCTTCCAAACTACGTGAAGAAAATATATCAGCCTCGGATGTATGCAATGAGATTAACTGCCATTTTGAGGTGCTATTTATTTATTTAGAGCAAGCCAGGCACATGGGTTGCAGGGAATTATTTGCACTGACAGAGCATGAAGTTGGGGGTTATCAAAGAGCTGCACAGGAATTCCAATACAGTACAGTTTCATTTTAGCATCTCCTCCTTAATCATGGTAAGTGTAGCTCCAGTATGTAGTGTTTTCCTTGACATGCACCTGCCTCAGAGCCACATAGACAGAAGGTTTAAACCTCATTCATTTTGAGTGTATTCACGTGTTGTTGCACTAACACAGCAAAGCCGAGTAAGTCACAAAGATAAATGTTTTTACTCTGATTAGTTTCTCATTTCATTTTTGGCCTGCGGGTTTTAATTCTCTCTCTCATTCTGCAATGCACTAACAAACGCTGATGGATTTACTTTCTGTTCATGACATCATTCTGCACACGAGTAAAAGGACAAGACACCACATTTACAATTCTTGAGTGTATGCTCAGTGCGAGAATGTAGAGGAGAGCAGACGAGGTGAAGAAACGGGAATGAGGAGAGTGATTGATGGAGGGAATGCGAGCCAAAGGATGATGGAGAAGAGTCAAAGGGTATGTGCATGTGTGTGGCCAGTAGGAGTGAGTGTAATGAAGTAAGACAGTGGAGATCTGTGGGAGGCAGAGAGAACGGGACATAAACAGTGAAAGAAGAGACTGGAAAACAAGAAACTGGAAGACAAATAGTTCCTGCTTCAATTGTCCTGTTGCAAGAGTAATATCGGAAAAAGAAAATATGTACATGTTGATGCAGAGATTGAGGTATGAGGTATGGTTAGACAGACGAGGGAAGGGGGGAGGACTGAGGCACTCGGTGTTATTGTGCACCCGGCCGCTGGCACCAGCACTGTCAGTGAGCAGCGTTGATCCGTGAACTTGCCATCTGGATTTTCCCACAAATCACATTAAAGTTTCAAGCCCAGGAATACATCAAGCTAAATGAATATTGGATCCAGACAGGCCTGATGGAGAAAAAGCCCTGTGCAACCCAGCTCTTTTGTGGTCAGACATGATCTATTCATCCTCTTTACTCCCACCATCCCTTCTTCCTTCTGTTCTCCTCTTCCCTGATAGGCAGTGGTTCTGATGAGCTGTGCAGGAGAAAGGCACTTATTATTAAATAGGTACATATTACAAGTACAGACTCTAGGACAAAGAATATGCGAGTAATTAAATTGTTGCAAAAGGTAAAACTACTTGCAGAAGCCTGACATTTGATCTAAAGTAACATAATCTTATTTAACTGCATTTGCATCATGTTTCTAAACAAAAATATCCCTGAATATCAACCTTTATACGAATTATAAAACACTGCAGATTGAAATAACTAAACACAGCGTGCATTAGTTTTAATTCTTTTACCTGAAATCAGCTTATGTTTTAGATCCCACTTATTAAGGCCTTAATCTGTTTCTCAATTGCACACAGTTATACGTTTATTGTAGAGTATGTTGCAGGTAGAAATAAGGAGGATTAATTGCTGCATGTGCATACATAATAAGGGACACTGTTTGACTCCCTGACAACACATTGAAAATGATTCATGAGCACAGTGTGAAATTATATGCTTACTTTTCCTTTCATTTTAGCAACATTATGTTGACTTTGCATAAATGGATTTCAGTTTTCACCGAAAGGTGAAAATAATATGTGTGTGGCAAAAATAATGCAATCATTCATCATTCAATAACATGTTTTGTTCAGGTTCCTGGTTGCATATTTTCTGCTGAAGCGCTGTTTGTGCTCAAGCAAAAGCCATTAAGAAAATATGGCCTCGCCAAGATTCTGTTTCATACAAGAAGGAAAAAAATCTATTTAGTTCTTTTCCAATCCAGTGGCTTGTAGAGCTAGGGATTTATTTTCCCCAGGCTTGGACTGAAGAGAAAGCCTGTACTGTTAGTTGTCCAGGCTTCAGTTGTGTGAGATCCCCAGGGTGAGATATGGATTGGCTTGGAGTCTAGAAATTATAAATACCTTGTCAGTGATAGTGAAGGCTGAAGAGGTTCAGCTTCAGCTCTAAATTGGGCTGAAGAACACACATTCAGCTATTGAGATTTCTCTATAATTAGCAGAATGCTGCATAGTTTGGGTATGCAAACCACAAGCAAGTATGAATGGTAAGACACAGTAAAGTACATGCATGCATGCTAGAAAACGAATGCCATGGGAGATAGATTCACTGTTATATGCGAACCAATATGACACACAAGAGCAGGCATAAATCAAGGATTTATACATTGTCATCATGAGCGACCCACCATAGAACAAGCAGTTCTAGCTGAACAGAGAAGATTGCTGGAGCACATCCTTTAGAAAAAATAAATGAGTACTTATGACACAAAGCAATCTTAGTAGAGCAGTCAGTCATTTCATTGCTTTTTCCCTCTTTTCTGGTAACTTGGTCTGTGGAGAGATGCCGTATACATCTCAAGATACAGCAGCATGACAGACAACATTTACCTCATATTTATCAGCATATTTTTAGATATTGTCTTTTTCAAGACGGTTTCTTCTATTATATTTTCTTCTGTATTTTATTTATTATCCCATTATGGGTTTTTTTAAACCATTGTTTCACATTTATCTGTGTTTCAGGCCTGCAGGTTATTTTCCCAGAATACCTGCAAGAGAAATTTGTCCAGTCAGCTCTGAGCTACATTATGTGCAATGGAGAGGGGGAATATGTGTGCCATAACAACCAATGCATCTGTCAGTGTGCCGAGGAGTATCCCCAATGCAACTGTCCTATAACCGACATCCAGATCATGGAGAACACCCTGCTGGGGATGTATGAGTCATGGGCAGCCTCCTACAAAGACTTTGAAAGCTCTGGTAAGCTTGAATATCCTTCTAAATATGATAAGAATCATCAGATCTCATGTCCATGCATTTAAAAATTAATCTTTTTAAAATTTCTTCTTTTTTGTTTTGTTCAGTTTTGCAATTTTCTATGAGAGACAAACTGTCATACATTTAGCCCCTTTAATTCTGAAGTGCTTATCAAAATTTGAGCTGAGGCAGCTCCGTGTTTTTTCCACCCCCCCCCCCCCCCCCCCCCCACACCCCCAACCTATATTAATGAAAAATAATGAGCACCTTTAAGACTAGCATACATTTATATTATGCAGCTGCAAAGGGTCAGTAGCCTTGGCAATCTTGGTGATCAGTCTTCATCCTCAACTAAATCGATACATTTAGGAAGAGTGACTTCTTTTTTTTAATGACAGTAAATAGCAAAATGATCACGTAACCAGATGCTAATTACACAATGTAAAGGTGTCTGTAGAAGTGAGTGCAAATGCAGGCACAAAGGTGATAGTAGAATTTTGGACACAGCAGAGGAAAAAACACATATTGTGCCTTATTGTTTTATGGCAAGGCACCATGTATATCTATTATTAATAAAAAATAAAAGTGTCTCGATACAACCTGCCAGCAACAGATAAATATATTTATGCACCATAGGGGCAAGTTAATGTTAGTCATGAAGGTCACTGAGTGCAGTACATCTTCAAAGAAGTACTTGAAAAGAAAGAACACTGGAAGAAGCCAAATAAAAGAACATAACTTCTTTTCAGACCAAAGCACAAAGAGTTGTGCGGCCTCTGCTAAACATTTGAAAAATAAATGCTTGAGAACAGGTTCAAAAACCTCAAAGCATCAGATTGACATATGATATAGACAATCTGTATAATTCAGCACGTGTAAACGTAATGACAGGGCACATTCAGTGCCTGCTAATATTTGCAACACTGGAGTATTCTGCTGCTTAAACTAAATGGCACACCAACATTGGTTTGTGGAAATGTTCTGTAGGTACTATAGAAAAGAGAGCTGATGTGACACTACATGATTCATTTATTGCTTAGCATTCCTTTCAAAATACAGAGCTGTGGCAGTATAACATTACTGGCTGTGAGAAAAGGTGCAGCTGCTCTGCTTATGCTCATTGAAGCTGTGACTGTTGCTTTGTTGATATTGCTCAGACTCAGCTGCATTTGTAGTTGAATGTATTCAGTGAATTTCTCTCATTAAACTTAGTCAAGAAAAACATAATTATGCAATACATGCTTGGATTTTACAATAGTTTTTTTTTTCAGATATAAAACAACAGTCAGGCTATCAAACAATGCCTGTATGTGGTTAGTATGTAGGTAGTTTATCTAGGTATATACTGCCTCAGCACTGAGTGAGAGCACTGAACAAACTGGTTTATCTACTTATTTAGCTAGCTACAGTGAAATAGGCTATGCAGACATTATTGTGGCTGAAGATAAAACCTAGGCAATGAGCCAATACGCAAGTTATTGCAAAGTGCAATTTTAGTGTGAAGTAAACTTTGTCCTATGGGATCCAAAACAAATGTTAACATACACAAAGATAACCCAAGTAAATGTAAAATGAATTTTTACAAAATTAAGTATGTTTTCCAAAAACCCCTGGGGATCCTTAAGATGAGTTTTTGGCAAATGTGACATGAGCCTTTGTCTTCTGGTTTTCACCTTGGAATTCTCCCATGGATGCCATTTTTCTGCAGTCTCTTTCTTATCTTTCTTGTTGAATCATGAACACTGACCTTAACTGAGGCAAGAGAGCCCTGCAGTTCTTTAGTTGTTGTTTTGGCTTCTTTTAAGACCTCCTGGATGAGTTGTTGATGTAGTCTTGGAATATTTTCAGTAGGCCAGCCGCTCTTCGGAAGCTTCACCACTGTTTTCTTCATTTGTGGATAATGGCTGTCATCATGGTTTGCTTGAGTCCAAAAACCTTAGAAATGACTTGTAGCCCTTTTCAAATTGTTAGATGTCAATGTCAGTGACTTTGCTTCTCAGCTGTTTCTTTAAATTGTGGCATGATGTGTTGCTTCTTGAGACATTTAAATCTACTTCACTTTGCCTGACAGGTTATATTTGACTCTTTGATTCAACGTGCTGGTAGTAATCAGGTCTGGATCTTGCTAGAAATGGGGACATTTGGTTTTTTTTGTTGTTGTTTTTTTTATGTAGGGCTTGTTAGGTTTGGATATCTTTTTTTCCTCCTTTTGATAAATTAAATCATGAATTAAAAACATTTTTTAAATTTAGTTGGGTTATCTGTGTATAATAATTAAACTTACCCAGTGATCTGAAACAGTTAAGTGTGACAAATATATTAAAACTACAAAATCAACAAGAGGGGAAATACTTTTTTACAGTACCATAAAGTGCTACATCTGACTGTAATTTAAGGTAATTTTTTAAAATCTACAAGCTGCTGCTACATAGTTTAATTTATCTAATGCCACATCAATAGATTTTCTTTGATTGTCTTTTATTTTTTATTTTCACTTTTTTATACAAATGGCATTGGATATCCGTAAAATCTGGTGAAAAATACATGTGATACAAAACAACAAAGTGAAATGTAATGGCACAATGGGTGAAGTATGGTTACATTGTGAGAGCTTTAATCTCTAGATAAGGTGTGCTGGATGGCTTAAGATAAGGACTATGTGGAAGCACTTTCAAGGAAGGAGTCCTTGACGGCTTTGAAGCCTGTATAAAAGGACTTGGCAACTATTAAACTGGCATTGGGAGTGACTCAATAAAAGCGATGTTTTTTGGTGGGAGAATCAGATATATCTGAATATTGAGTGCTGGAGACACCCGGCTTTTCTAGGAAAAGGGAGGTACCTGACATCTCTGAAAGCTGGGTGGAGGGATATGGCAAGTTCAAAACAGGGGAGGAGAAGAAATCTGGCTTCTTTGAAGAAGAAGAGGAAAGGAGCTCTGATATGCCTGTGTGGAGGGTGGAGGAAATTCTGACATTTCACGGCAATGGTTGAAAAGGGGTTCTCAACTGTGGTTAATTCTGTTAAACTGTCTTGAGGAGGACTGCAGGGGGGTTCGGCTGTACAACTGCATCTCTTGAATATGGGATTTGTTGTTCACGAACAGAGTGGAGCAAAGTTTTTAACTGTGTCCAATAATATTTATGTCATACTTTTCATGGTAGACTATTGCATCAAGTTTATAGCTTTAACAAACTTTTTGCATTTATAACAAACACTATAAATGCAAAATTATTGCTCTTGTTGTTCGTCTACTTTTGAACTGTATTCAGTTTAAACTGTAGGAATTAAAATGTTTAATTAATGAGCTTAGTATTAAGGATGGATGAACAATGAGTTAATCTGAATTAACTGACTCAGTTGATTAGCACGCCAAATAAAAGCCTTTTTGTCCATGTGTATTTTTGTCCATTTGTATTTTTCAAGCATCTTCATGCTCATTGTTGCCAAAAATTGAAGCTATCGTTGAAAACAGCAGTTGTCCATGGAGGAGACAAACAAGAATTATTAGAGGCAGAAAGAGGGACACAAGGACAATCATCACCACTGGTTGGAACAAATTTGTTGAGGCAGCAATCTTGAAAAGGTGTCGGGGAGCACAGAGTGAGAGGGTGTTTACTGCGCTGAGAGTCTCATTTCTCTTCAGATACTCACAGCAGTCGAAGTACAAAAAGCAAAGTACAGACATGAAAAAAAACATGTCAAAACTCACGTTTGAAGATATAAACTTGGAAACTATAACTTATAAAATGTACTTTGTTGCAAATATTACAATAACAGTTGTCTCCAGCTGTTTTTTTGTTGATTTTTGTTCTTTTAACGGTTCCCTCTCTGTCACCTAGATGAGTTCAAGTCATTTCTGAAGAGGCTGCCCTCCACTCATTTCCTCCCCATCAGCAGTGTGCATCTTCTCTGGGGCAGCGACTGGGATTTGCAGGCCCGCTACAGGCTTCTTCAGAGCTCCCTGGAGGTGCAGCGACTGAAGATCCAGCGCACCGCCCGCAAGCTCTTCAGCCTCAGCATCCGCTGTCACCACAATCCCAACCACCAGATGCCTAGGGAGAGGTGGGTAAAAAAAAATAATAATTCAATGTTCTGTTCAAAATTAACTATGAATTTACTCGGACAAGCCTAAGGTGCTGTTTCTGGTCTTAACATTTTTGGGATATCTGTTTTTTTAAAAGTAAAAGAAGATATTCAAATGTATCTTGCAGAGGAGTGACATCTTTCAGGGAAATTTCCCTTTTGGATTGATGTATGGGTTCTGTTTTATTTGGTGCTCCTTGAAGCGTGCACAGTGAGGATGACATCCATTATACATTTTAACTTATGGTTCTGTTGTTTCTGTCCATCAAGTCAACTTAGTGCTGAGGCTTGCACATGCCGAAAACACTCTACCTCACTCTTGTATTTCACTTTGCAATCTAAAAGGGGGGGAAAAAATAGCTGTGGGAGTTTTCTTGATAGGTCATTGCACACATCTGTCACCACCTACTGCAGTTGCAGCTTAAGAGCCTTGCTGCGGATATGCCATTGTGTCAGCGCTGCATGAAATGCCAGGAATTTTCAACCATCCACTCTAGCAAATATCAGAAAACACTATGCAAAATATGCAAAGTTCCTGGCTTCCATATGAAACACCCCCAAAACTGTTATGTGTAGGGGATGTCACCACATAAATGGAAACAGAATCTGTAAAATATTCATTTAAGTGGTCTGAAAATGAGCCGCTGTCAACTGTCACTGACAGAAAAAGAGCACACCCACATTTGTGCGTGAGAGTTGGCAAAGGTTTGTTCTGAAGTGTTATCAAAGAGCTGCAGTATGCGCTTCCCTGTCCATGGAGTATGCATCAAGAGTGCCTGATGGCACTGGAAATAAGAGCTGCATGTTTATTTGCTTGCTTGTGTAAGACAACTTTGGATCAGATGGAGGAATTATTTAGTTTTATTATAACCGTGTGCATTTGCGCTACATATATACATAAAACATTAAGATTTTCCTTTCCGTTAAGATATTACCAACAAGGACTCAAGTCCTTCCATTTTTTCTAGTCAAACTATAACAGATAATCAGTCAATGAAGAGACTGAGGCAAAGTTGAAGGTCTGTGTGTTTAAGATGTGTTCCAACGCATCTTCATGTCAGTGAGGCTGTGAGTTGATGAAGATGTGAAAAAAAAAAACTATATTGCTTGGTTCCAGAGATGAAAAACTGGTGCATCGGGATTCGAAATGACAGCAACACACATCCCTTGTGAGAGATCATTTAGCCCCTCTCCAGTTCATACTGTATATCAGACCCCTAGTGGGAAGGATTCACTTGCTACTTTGCATTATTCTACTTTGAGAGTTGTGTTCATCAACCTCTGAGATATTTTACTGAAGAAAGAATTGTATTTGTACAAGCTTGCTTTTAACCAAGAATGTTTTTAACCTTACCAAACTATGATTCAGTGTAACAAAGGTAAACCTTGATAATACCCATCATCAATATGTAACTGATAAATTAAGGTTAACAGTTAATAGTTTGCGAAAGGTTAACAAATCTTATAAACATTATTTCAGCTGATATTAAGTTAAAGTTTACACTTGTTTAAAAGCATATGAGCGGGTGGCTGGACTGTGAATCTGAATAAACCTGGAACTGCTTTTTCCACTATTATTGTATTTCTTTTTTATATACATCTAGTCAGGATTCACTTTTGCTTTTCTTTAGTTTAGTTGTTTGGTTAGGTTAAGGAAAAGATCATGGTAAATGGTTTTTAACCCTGCATGGCTTAAGTTTATCTAGTGCATTCAGACTTCACTTTTGTTCTTTGTCATGCCATGTTAATCTTCATTATGAAGCCTTAATAACAGTGAAATGCATAAAATTGACAAAAAATATACTTCAGGTAATTGTTACTGTCGCTTATAATACCTGTTACAATGTATCAGGTATTATGACGCAATACCTGATACATTGTAACCAGTGATAGGAATAACGGCGGTTGAAGCTGTCTTCAGCTTACCGCATCTTATATCAGTTGCACGAAAGTAGCTGAAATAAATCTGGATGCTACAGCTTTAAGCAGCTGCGCGGGCCCCCGCGGGCAGTTATCACTTTCTGGCAGACAATTACTTTTTGGCACAACACCTCGAGCTAGGGGGCAAAACAATCGCATGAGTGCTGCTGTTTGACCGAGGAAGAATAAAGTAGTCATGGTAAGCCAAACACATGACCACTTCAAGATGACAAAGCATTGTGTGGATAGGCCACGTAAAACCAGAGTCATGATAAACAATATATACGCGGCGTTTTTTCCTCAATCGTTTCGTCACTTTTACTGTCTATGGACAGCGCAACAGGACATTTGGATGTTTAGGGAGAGGGGGAAGTTTCAGGAGTGATGGCGAGAGAGATAGAGAGAGAGAGAGACAGCAGAAAAAGAGAGAGAGTGAGTTTGGAGATGTGAGAGATTTGTGACATTTAGCGTGTTTGGAGTGTGTAGTTAATGTGTTGTCTTGTGTAGTTAGTGTGTAGTGTTGTGGATAGTTTTGTGTTGTGTGTCAGAACAATGAGGCGACTGCTGTCTCCAGGTAAAAAACAGGAGTGATACACCTGCTGCTGTCAGACCTGCAGGTGTCAGGCTGTGATGTTTTCCTTTATAGTGGACAGAAATTATTTTTTGGAGTGGCACAAATAATTTGTGTGGCATCTTATTTAATGGAGAACACCTGATGGTTATGTAAATAGTTTGAAATGGTTATTTAAAAAAGGGGTAGGGTAAATGGCTGCAAACAACTTTGTTGTTTGCAAAACTTGTACATAGGATTTTAAAATTGACAATTTATATTTGCATTTAAAGTTATGAAATATGATTCATTACACATGTTTGTGGTTGGTACAGTAAAAATATAACTTTCTACTCGGATTTTATGTTTTTTTGCCTGATTTCAGATCAATTGTGTTAATACAGTATGTCAAAATGAAAACATAACTGTAACTTCAGACACGTGAGGTTGTGCTGAAAAGAATGATACCAAACAAGGCAAAGTAAATAGTTTTTAAAGGTGAAATGTAGAGGTCAAATCAAAAGTAACTAAAAATGGCCAATTATACCCTGGACCCCAGAGGGTTAATTTTTTTTTTTTTTTTAAGTAACGCAATAGTTACTTTTCAAGTAATTAATTACTTTTAGAATCTTGTAACTCGGTTACTAACTCAGTTCCTTTTTTGAAGAAGTAACTAGTAACTATAATTAATTACTTTTTTAAAGTAACTTGCCCAACACTGATTATAACTGATAATATATAATTAATACTGTAAATTTGTATCATAAAATATAACAAGTAAGCATAAATTCAAACATCACAAATGACTAAACATTCATTCTCATTTTATTGTCTGTCAACAATTAAAACAAATGACACGCTACTGACAAAAGTTTCATAAACTACTTTTTAATATTGAGCATTATGAGGCGCTACCTGTTGTTGGGAAGGAGAAATACAGCAATGTGACAGCAGAGTTAATGCTATTAAATTACAAGTATCTCAGTGAAAGATTAGAAAGGGAGAAAGGGAAATCATTCCATTAGATTTGTTAACGCTAATAAGACAAATCTAATATCAGTATCTTAGCTGCAAATACCAATATGTAATACAAAGATGATATTAGATTGGTAATTTATGAGAAGGCTGTGGCTGCGTGTTTTTTGCAATATGGTGGAGTGAGAGAAAAGGAGATTAGATGTGAAAATGTGAAGTAAAATCTGTAATCTAATTTGGGATCACGCAAACATTCATAGTGCAGAAATGCAAACATAACACATACACATATAACTTAAAGGAGAGGGGAATATTTATCTATAGCTGGTGATAATCAGTCTGAAAGGATGAAGGTCTACTTATTTCTGAGTCCAAGTAATGATAATAAAAACTTGTTAATATTAACTTACCAAAAAATTTAATACATTTTGATCTGCGTTGTCCCTTTACTAGTGCTTGCTACATAAACCCAAACAATAAACACATTTATATATACAAAGACAGGAAAATGAACACATCTCATTTCTTATTAACATATACTTACAGATATTCTGAATATCTGATAGGATTTTTATTTGACATGACGAGTTTATACAGTATACAACACTGTACTAAAGTTTTGACCCAACGCTCATTTGTTTATATTTTGGTTGGAAAACAAGAAACACCTGGAACAATTTATTGAAACATGTATGATCATACATGAAAAATACCGTAAACAAGGCAAAATAGAGTTTGTATTGTACAGTTGTTTTTTTTTAACACAACCTGAACTAGGCAAGTTTTCTAATGTTTAAGCAGTTTTCAAAAATAGTCCTCCAGGCTTCCTGAAGGGAATTCCAAGGCTCTTCTTTGAATGTCAGCTACCTTTTGTTCCATTTTCTGTCAAGCTGTTCCCACACTGCTAATTCTGAGGTCCGGCTCTGGAGAGGCCAATCCTTGACTGTTCTATTGTGTGTTTATCTATCCAGGTATGCTTTTACTGCATGAGCAGTATGTTTAGGATCAATGTCATGCTGAAAAATGAAGCTGTTGCCAGTCAGATGTTTTCAGATGGTATTAAATGGTGAATTAAAATCTGATGGTGCTTTTTTGTGTTCTGTGGTGTTGGGGAATTTTTGACAAGATTCCCAACACCACTGACTGAAATGCAGCTCCAAGCCATTCAGTTTGATTCAACTGAATTTTATTTATATAGCACCAGATCACAACAGCTGCCTGGAGGTGCAAACCATGACATAGCCTTCACTGTGTTTTACATATGGCTGTAGACACCCACCATTCTACATATTTCCACTTTGAATCAAATATTTTAAATTTTGATTTATTACTCCATCAGACCTGTTGCCACCGATCTTGTGTAATTTGGCATGCCTCAGCCTTCTCTCCCTGTTTCCCTCCTGAAGAATGGCTTCTTGACAGCCACCCTTCCACTGAGGCCATTTCTGATGAGGCTTCAGCGACCAGTAGCTGGATCAGCTGAAGGGCCAGATGCATCTCTCAGGTCCTGTGTCTTTGCTGGATTTTTTCCTATTTCTTAGGGACATGGCTTATAGCTGCTGTTCATCTTCTGTAGACAGTTACAAAGTGAAATATTTCTCTGAAATTGGTACATAAAATAAAGTTCCAAGTACTAAATTGATCAAAAAAGTAGGCAATGTCTACAGATAAACCTTTGAAAGACCTTCAGGAAGCCTGAAGAACTGTTGCTCAAGACTGCTTTCTTGGAAGCAAAATGTGAAGAAATGAAGAGTTGCTAAGGACTTTTTCCGATATACAAATTTATACAGATTTTTGACACCGGTATTTTAGGAAAACAAAGGCATTCTTATCAAAATAACACAGATTCAGCTAACCTTTTGCACAATGCAGAATATTTTGTGAGTAAGAGAGCTTAAAAAATTCAGCCAAACATCATCAAGGAAGAAGTATGCTGTATGAATTGCAACGACAAGTCAGCTTATTCACTGCTTTGGAGAAGATCCTGGGTTTTCCACCTGCATGGTCTTTGTTGGGTTTGTTTTCTGACTCTAGTCAGAAGTATTCTTTATTATATCTGGTATTCCTTATTTTACTCTGCCATTTTGACCAGATATCGTTATTCCTTTTCGCCTTTGTCTAACCCATTCACCTACTTTTGTGTTCATGCCTCTACAGCATTCTTCAGGAAAGAAATGTTATGTGTCATTGTATGTTGATGAGGGATTGCCATAAAGTCTGTCTGTCTGTCTGTCTGTCTGTCTGTCTGTCTATCTATCTATCTATCTATCTATCTCTCTCAGTTTGGAGCTCATTATAGACAAATCAAAGTATGTGCTTCCATTGTTCTCTTTGGTTGATCTTTTCTTGTTATGGTATCACTTGTGGCAATGTCATGTATCATTGTCAGTACTTAAAATAATTTACTTGTCAAACTAACCTTGACCAGCAATACTTTCTCAAATCAAAATTCAGATTCCATCTTCTACAGTCAGAAAAGAAGTTCCAGTACTGTCAGGATGACAAGGAAGGATGTCTGGTGGGGGGCAAAGACAAGACAGGAATATCAAGCAATGCTTTCCACCAAAGGGAAATAACCGGCCCTATCTACTAAAAATTATGTCCCTATCCAACCCCAAGACACTGTAAATTATGCTGCAAAGCAAACACATTTTCTAGTCTTATATATGAGATCAATTGGAGTTAATATTACGAATGTATCTGTTTTAACTCTAGCAATGATATTATTCACAACCCAAAAAAGTACATTTAGTTAATCAAAAACAGCAAGGGAAAATGTAATGTAGAAGTCAAACAGTAATACAAAATTAAGTGAAAATAGTAATAGTCCTATCGAGGAAGACAAACCCAAGTTACCAGGGTGAAATTATGCCTCACACATGCCTCATTCACTCCATCAACTCCTCAGGGTTCTCTTTAATATGCTGGCCTTTTCTTGGAGAGAAAATATACTTTCTTTTCCTGATGAGAATTTAACATGTATACATTTTAACTTTAAAAGGATTTACTGGTGTGCGTTCTTTTCGCTGTTCTTGTCACACTAGATTGAGATTAAAATTTCCTGATCACTGCTAATGCTCTTATGCCTTTTTTCTGTCTTTTGCCTCTTTAGATCTGTGATGCAGTGGCTCAACAGGGTTCAGTCTTTCCTGTACTGCAATGAGAATGGGTTTTGGGGGACCTTCCTGGAGAGCCAAAGGACGTGTGTGTGCCACACAGGTGTCACACTGTGCCAGCGACCCATACCATGTGTCATAGGTGGAAACAACAGCTGTGCCATGTGCAGCCTGGCAAACATCTCACAATGTGGCTCATGCAACAAGGGCTACAAGTTGTATCGTGGTCGCTGTGAACCTCAGAATGTGGACTCAGAACGTAGCGAGCAGTTCATCAGCTTTGAAACTGATCTGGACTTTCAGGACTTGGAACTCAAATACCTGTTACAGAAAATGGATTCACGTTTGTACATTCATACTACTTTCATTAGTAATGAGATCCGACTAGAGACATTCTTTGACCCACGCTGGCGTAAGCGCATGTCCCTGACTCTCAAAAGTAACAAAAACAGGATGGACTACCTCCACATGATAATTGGTTTATCAATGAAGATCTGCCAGATGCGAAACAGCAGCATTGACCCCATGTTCTTTGTTTATGTCAACCCATTTAGTGGTAGCCACTCTGAAGGCTGGAGCATGCCCTTTGGTGAGCATGGTTACCCACGCTGGGAAAAGGTACGGCTGCAGAACTCCCAGTGCTTCAACTGGACTCTTGTACTGGGTAACCGGTGGAAGACCTTTTTTGAGACGGTGCACATTTATTTGCGTAGTCGTGCCAAGGTCCCAACTGGCCTCCGCAATGATACAGGACAGGGCCCGGTGGACCTTGCAGACCCGAACAAGCGCCAGATCTACATAAAAATTTCTGATATCCAAGTTTTTGGTTACAGCCTGCGCTTTAATGCAGACTTGCTTCGTAGTGCTGTGCAGCAGGTTAACCAGTCATACACACAAGGTACACAGTTTTACTCCTCCTCATCTGTTATGCTCCTCTTATTGGACATTAGGGATCGGATAAACCGTCTAGCGCCTCCCTCTGCACCTGGCAAACCCCAGCTGGACCTCTTCTCTTGTATGCTAAAGCATAGGCTCAAGCTCAACAACAGCGAGATGATTCGAGTGAATCATGCATTGGACATGTACAGCACAGAGATATTAAAACAGTCTGATCACCTGACTGCTAAACTCTGTTGAACATTCACATAAGGACAGCAAATTTAACAGAAACACCCGACAAATGAACTATGGGGGTATATTACTCTTACTTTTTTTCTCTTTTTCATTTTTTGACCTTTTCTGCCTTTTGATGTAATATTAACTTTGTAAGCATAATTCTTAAAGAGAAAAAGGAAAAGGCAGTGATGAAAAGCTTTTCTGGCATATTAAGAAGAATACTGAAACAACTATAAGGACTGTATCATATTTGTCCCAGCATGTCTGTAAATCCCTAAAAGAACTTAAAATGAGAAAGAGACAGAAAAAAAAACAACAAAACAAAAAACATGACATTTATGTACTGGTAAAAAAGAGGCCTTGATTTTACTCTGAGGGATCAAAGGTTATATCTGAAACTGCCATTCTTTATTGAAAAAAAAGGAAAAAAAAAACATTTTTAAAAGAAATAATGATAACATAAGGGCAGACCAGATATCACTTCATTCTAGCTAATGAGCTAAACAACAGTTTAATATTCAAAATGTTTATACATCGTAAGGATTAAGTATCCCTAGTGAGTAAGTAGTCAACACATTACTGATAGACTTTATTACATTTCAGACCCACGGTGAATCTGCATTGCTCTTTGTGAGTTATGAGGCACTCTGTCATTGTTCTGACACATAAGGCACACAGCAGGGCAGTAATGGATAGTCATGTCAAAACAAAAGCCAGCTGTTTATATATACATATGTGGTTGAATGTGTGTGTATGCGAGAGCGTGCGCTTGTGTATATCCTTTTTATTATTATTATTATTATTATTATTATTATTATTATTATTTGGCTTGATGCTTATTGCTGTTTGTTAATTGAATGTGTCATTTGAGATTGACTCCAGTCTTTGCTAATTCTTGCATTTGGAGCGCTTCTTCCCGTGTTTGAAATTCAAGCTGTGTTTTCCACAAGGCAGTACCTCCTGGTGCGTGAGTGCAATATTGTGGTCTGAAGATTTAACAATCAATGCTATTTTGTACAGCTTTGCAAAATGTACATGTTGTGACTGCTGATTTGTGGAGCTTTTCAGCACCAAGAGCAAAATGTAAGCATTCATCATTCAGGCACGTTTGCAAGACAATTTAAAGCCATACACTTCCCTGAGGTAGACATAAAGTAAAGTAAGTTCATAACCTTTATTCACTTCATAACACATGGAAAAAATGTTCAAGTTATATGTTTTTGTTTTAGTCCCTCAGCTGATTTCAGATAAGAGCACAGCAAAAGGGAAGTTGACAGAGGAGAGTGTATATTATATTGAATAGGAATGTCTTGTAAAGCCATTGATTTTTCATGTTGTTACACAGCGGGGAAAAAAAAAAAGAAAAATATGAAGAAATGGTTGAATACTAAAGTATAAAATACCCTTTTGGCAGTGTTTAATCTGTACGCTTTTGATGGCCATGTGTATAAATGTCTGTTTTCCTTTTGCGATATGAAATCAATAACATTTTTTGCATGTTGCTGGAAGCATCAACAACTCTCATCATCCAAATGAAATATAAAACACTACCTATGTATTAATGGTCAAACTTTATTTGGGTAATCCAATGCTGAAATATTTCTACTACTGTTAACTTTTTGTAGGTCTAGTCCTTTGCTTGGATGTTTGTTAACAAAGATGTTGTACAACCAAGTTGGTCTGGCCATTTTCGGGAGTTCAAACTTTAAAAAAAAAAAAAAAAAAAGAAACAGGGGACATTGAGTAGTTGCTGTCATCTAAGCCAAACTCTGTAAAACAAAACAAAAACAGAAAAAAACATTCCTCCCGGTGTAAAAGCTGTCAAAAATCCATATTTTTCCATGTGTTCCGCCAACATTAATATTATTTTTTTTATGTGCTAGTCTCTTGATGTAGATAGTTTAGCAGTATTAGTACTTTAGTTCAATTATATGTTCTTTTAACCTAACTTGGTTCTTACATTGTAATGACACTAGTCTATTGGGTCAGTCGTAAGTGTAGACAGTGGTAATGAGTTATGATTTTCATCTGGGTGACAACAACAATGACGGTGTAATTCCTAAACTAAGCCCTGGACTAACATGTCATTACATTTACTCAGCTTTAGATTTCACTGCGTCAGAATTCCAACTTGAATAGTATCAGTATCTCATCTAACTTTGTTTTACAAAGATTACTCGTATGTTTTCTTATTATGTTGCCAGTCTTGTGAAGCATGTTTATTGCCTGGGAGGTGCTTTTTTTTTTCTTTTTCTTTTTTTAATCACAACTGACTATAAAGCATTATTACAAACTAAAATTACATTCAGGAGATATAATTGCTAATAGCGGAATAGGTTGATTTGTATAAGTTTGGATAACAACAGCTCAGCTTGTCAGCCTTTGCTCTATTTTGGTGAATTAATCGAGGCTGTGTCATAAAAACAAGTTCTGTTGTAGCACTAGGTCAGTTAGTTCATGTTCACATGGTAATGGTGTGTTCAGAGCAAACTCAAGCAGAATCACATATGTTCAGAATTTACCAGAATCCCATAATTCAGTCTACTGTTCTCCAAGGTTTATCTAACTTTTTCAGTTTCTGTATAAAAGAAGTTACATCATATAACTCCAGATGCCCGTACATAGCAACAATGGACTAGGCATCCATTTGTGATTGTCAGTGATGTCAGGAGAATATCATCATTGGCATATTTTCATGCATGTGGAAAACTTTAGGCAAATATCAAACAGAGCTGAGGCTGACAAGGTGATGCCCTAAAATGTCCCTATATATATACACATTTCTTGATTGTTTAGCATCATTATTGGACTATCCAAATGAATTGTCTCCATTTCATTATTATTATTATTATTATTATTATTATTATTATTATTATTATTATTATTATTATTATTATTATTATTA